AGACAGAGACAGAGACACACAGAGAGACAGAGACAGACAGACAGAGACAGAGACACACAGAGAGACAGAGAAAAGGAAGGAAGGAGTGGAGGGAGCAGGGGAGAAAGGAAGCGATCAGCCATCAGGAGATCCTTCAGAGGGAGATCATTCAGAAAGCTGAACCCGGGGCCTTTGGTCTTCGTGAGTATGAATTCATGTTGGTGTTCTGTAACCCAGAATCACAACTAAGACTTCTGTCATCCATGATGGGTGTGTGTGTGCGTGTGTGTGTGTGTGTGCATATGTGTGTGCATGTGTGTGCATGTGTGTGCGTGCGTGTGTGTGCATGTGTGTGCATGTGTGCATGCATGTGTGTGTGCGTGCAGTACTGGGGATTGAACTCATGGCCTGGCAGCTGTCCTTGAGTTTTTTGCTCGAGGATGGTGCTCTACCACGTGAGCCACAGCTGCACTTCGGCTTTTGGGTGTTTAGTTGGAGATCAGAGTCTCACAGACTTCCCTGCCTGGGCTGGCTTTGAACCGTGATCCTCAGCTCTCAGCCTCCCGAGTTGCTGGGGTGACCGGCGTGAGCCCCTGTGCCTGGAGGTGTTGCTCTTACCATCCTCTTCCAACCCTAGGAAGACCCGGCACTTACCAGAACGTCCTGCGTGTCAATCTTCAGCATGGTGGCGTTCTCCGCCTCGCAGTAGGACTGGCAGCCTTGCCAGCTGCGGCTGTCTCCGGAGAACTTGTAGCACCTGGCTCCCTGCCACCACCATGTGTCCGGGCACGGGCTGCACCTGTGTCCTGCGTGCGGGGAGGAAGGGGCTAGCGGGGATCGCGCTCGGTCGGCTAAGCCACGGGTGTGTCTTGGGTCTGGAGGTGTGGCTCAAGCGGTAGAGCACCGGCCCAGCAGGCCGAAGGCCCGGGGCCAAACCTCAGGGGTGAGAGAGGTGGAAAAAGGGAAGGAAGAAACAAAGGAGGGAGGGAGGGAGGGAGAAGGCAGGCAGGTGGGCACAGGGCTGGTGGTAGGAATCCATGAGGATCTCTGTTCAAATCCAGCCTGGACAGCGCAGGTGGAGAGCCTCTTCTCTGCAGTGCAGTCAGCCAAAAGCTGGGAGTGGAGCTGGGGATTGTGGGGGAGGGCGCCAGCTTTGGAGTAACCATGCGAGGCCCTGAGTTCAAAGCCCCTGTACGCACGCACACGCGTGCACACACACACACACACGCGTGAGCGCGCGAAGGGTCTTTGTGCCTTGTGACTCAGACACGGACGCAGTGCGTGTGCTCTTCCAGCTCTGCCCCTGGCCTCCGTCTGCGCACACCGGTGTGCGGCCCACGCGGGTCACAGACGCGCGTGACGGGGACGAGGCGGGGACGATCCGCAGCAGCCTACCTGCGTGTTTGTCGTACAGCTCCCGGCACAGTCTCTCGGCCACCCTCTGCAGACTCCCCGCCAGCGTGCGGCTGTGCGCGCGCAGCGCCTGCAGCTCTCCTGAGAGGTTCCCCAGCCGCTCCTCCATCTCAGAAAGGCTTCCTCGCTGGGAACTGGAGAGCTGGTAGAACTGGAAAACTGCCCCCAGGGACAGGTCACACTGATGAGTTTGTGTGTGTGTGTGTGTGTGTGCCAGTCCAGGGACTCGAACTCAGGGCCCGGGTGCAACCTCTGAGCTTCTGTGCTCAAAGCTGACTCTCTAACACGCGAGCGACACCTCCGTTTTTAGCTTTTGTGGGTGGTTTAAGGGCGATCAGAGTCTCACAGACTTTCCGGCCCGGGCTGGCTTTGAACCGCGATCCTCAGATTTCAGGCAGGAGCCGCCAGCACTGGCTCTGTTGCTCTTCCCACATATGGGGAAATGTTTTTTGTTTTGTTTTTTTCCAGTCTGTTCTTCAAGATCTCAGACCCAGAGATCTCCGGCTGCCATATGCAGACTTGGAGTCTAGTCTGCGGATGATTAATTGCGTCACCTTGGCAAACGCATTGCTCTAAATAGGTCTGAACATATGGAACAAAACAGCAGCTCTCGACTTCAGAACTAGGTTCTTGGTGGGCGTCGGCGGCTCCCGCCTGTCAGCCCAGCGACCCGGGAGGCTGAGGCCTGAGGATCACGGTTCAAAGCCAGCCTGGGCAGGAAAGTCCATGAGACTCTGATCTCCAAGGAACCACCAGAAAACCGGAAGTGGCGCTGTGGCTCACGTGGTAGAGCGCCAGCCTGGAGCACAAAAGCTTAGGGACAGCGCCCAGGCCCTGAGTTCAAGCCCGGGTACACACACACACACACACACACACACACACTGCTTTATGCCCCAGACTTCCAGAATTTAAGTTAAATCTTTAAAAATCCACAGCAAGATTTTTTTTTGTTTCTCTTAGACAAACCCTCAAGGGTCTCAAACCCTGCCCTCCCCCCT